AGGGGGGCTTACAAGCGAGCGCCAGAGGCGCTAACTTGTGGTAGGTCATATTTATAAAATTATTATTTTACGTATTTTTTGCTTGAAATTGGAAGGGGGGAGACTAAAGCCCCCCAGTCCCCCCGGCTCCGCCGTCCCTGGTCGTGTTTCGAGTGAGTGCACTGAAATTTGGACTATTGTTTGTTCACCAATGCCAGGGCATACCATTAAACGTTTTTTTGACTACCGAAGTACATGGGAGACTGGTCGTTCTGAAAGGACAGGAAAATAAAACTATTCAGCGTAGAGGGAAAAAGATGAGGAGTAGAGATCTGTTTGCGGCTTACGGAATGGGGAGGCATTATTAAAGTATGTAAAAAGTGTTTTTTAGCTTAAGCGGTTTCCCTTACGACCTCCATTATCGGTAGAAATTTTGTCGGTAAACACTATACTCATAGTGGGCCTAACTAGCAGCGCAATTGGTGATTAAATGTCCAGCAAAAGTCTCTTAGTGAACGTACAGTAACGACGTAAAATGAGGTCTTTAATTTTGAGACTGCTTATTTTCCGGTGATCGAGAAAATACGTTCCCTCTCTCCCGACCCTGAATAGCGAATATATATAGCGGGGGCCATCTTCTGTTTAATTTTAAATCTTATCGCTGTTTTGCCTATTTTTTCCAAGCTATTAGTTCTTACGCTAAGGAAGTAGTCTAAGGCAGCTTTATGAAGGGGTAGGGTTCTTGAATTGCCCCTGTTGCCGTAAAGTGTCCCGTCCCATTGAAGTTGCCTAGACAAATCTCTTGCAGTCGAGCCTAGTCGAGCGCGCGGGCGAAGGGCTTATAGGTCTTTTTGGCTCGGAAATTGACAGAAAATGTAAATAAAACGCCACATGCTTTAGAATAACTGTTTCCGGCCGTTTGATTCCGCTCTCGTCAAATTAAACAGCATGAAACTACCGCCTCTTTTCTGTGTATTGAAATTAGGTGTACCCCCTTCGGATCCGGCGTGCTCCCGGTTGCTTTTGTTTTTC